GTTGTTTGAAGAGCAGACATTGAAATGAAAGAGGTGAAGAAAGCAGGAAGGAGAGAGGCAGTCATTTCTGGTTTAATCTGAGCTTCATCCCTCACAGAGAATCTCATTACACTGGACATTTTGAATATTGGGTCAGAAGTGATGATGTGTCGAAAGTACGTAGGACGGCTTTTAAACAATGATTGATTAATCATTGTGCAGAACCCATCCTATCTCCTAACTGTAGGCTTCTCTTTTTTTTTTTTAGAGGAAACTCCCATTCACATATTAATTCAGTGTGGAAGAGCCAATACGCAGAAGGTAACTCGTTGTAAACTTTTCAAAATGAAAGGGCAAAGCAGGCTGACAGGTTTATAAAGCTTGCCTGGGTCTGACCTCAGAATGGAAATGTCTACTTCCAGGCAAGTTCAGCCCATTCTTTTTTTGGGTGTGCACCTGAGCTGCGGGAGCTAGCTATGAAAAATTCATGTGGAATGCTTTCCCGTGCTCCCTATGTCCTTAACATCTGGTGGCTGAGGTCATGTTAGAATGTCAAAGGAAGTCTGCCCCAGTGAGGCAGCAAGGCTACTCTGGGAGCCTGGCTGGAGTGACAGGACTCTCCTTCCGGGCTGGCCCATGCCACACTATCTTCCCAACCACACACAAGGGGAGAAATGTTGATACCTAATAATGCCATCCACTAAATAGGCATGGCACAGCATGTGGTCCCATTAGGGGACCATGTTTCAGCTCTAACACTCCATGCATTTTAAAAGTTTATTTTTATCCATACATAGTTATCATTTGCTTCCCATAAGCTTCAAGTGCAGCCAAAATATTCAGCCACTGTGCTTTGGGAGATGGTTCAGTTGGTAAAATACTTACCTTCCAAGCATGAACATCTGGGTTCAGATACTCTAGAACCCACATAAAAAGCCTGGCAAGGGTGTAGTGTCTGTAGGGTAGAGTGTCTAACCCCAGTGCTGGACAGGCAGACCAGCAAGCCCAGCCAATAGCTGATTTCCAGTTCAGTTTAGAAACCTGTCTCTAAAAATGAGAATGAGAACAACTCAGGAAGACAACCACCTGTGGCCTCCATGTGTACACATGAATATCACATACACGCACACACACATGCACACATACGTGCACACATGGACACACACACATACACACACACACACACACACACACACACACACACACACACACACACACCACACACGTTCTGGAAACGTCTCCTGTTAGCAGGTGACAGCACACTATTTAGAAACAGAGATAAGGTTAACCCTGTCTCTCCCTCTATCCCTACATTATAGCAAAGGAGAGGTGGGACCAGCGGTAATTCATTTTTTAGCTAATTGTAGTACCATCCTTCCAGAATTTAATTCCCAGCACTGGACCATGCACACCCACTACACTGAGGTCCCTTACTTTATTCTCTAGACAAAAAGGGGTGGGGGAAACATCTATATTCACTAAATGCTAATTGGCTGAAACACCTTTTGGTTCTTCTGGAACGCTGGCTGGCTTTTTGTTTTTTAAATTGTCAACCTTTTCCTGCGGTGTCCTCACAGAAGCCTACCTCAGGAAAATACAAAATAGACATCTGAGGTTGTAGACACAGCACACCTTGGCTGTGCTGCTCTAAGGGGCCTGGCAGAGATGAAGACATTCTATAGAGACAGAAAGGTCCAAGCAGAGCCGGAGCTTGTCTCCAGGAAGAGATTTTACAGTTCTTGTCAGAACACCTAACAGTATGAGACGGAAGCTCAGACAGTGGTGGGGGCACTACACCTTGACCAGGGCTGCTTAGCTGTGCATATCCTTGGCCCTTCTATTAAATCAATCTCCAATCTCACTTCAGGACCCCCCAAAGGTGGACCTGGGGAGATGGGGTTACCTTTGCCCCTCTTCCCAATGTGGCCACATTGGACAAACATCCCTTTTTCTGCTTTCTGCAATTAATTGATTCTTTTAATTGGCATATTGAGGATAGGGGGCTGAACGTGGCTTGAAGCACAGGCTGTGAACCACCTCCCCTGCCCCCAAGTTCAATAAAAATGTGAATGGCTCTTGAGAATGCCTTATTCCATATCATGCTTCAAGACCTCATGGGATGCTACATGCCCATCCCAAGATGTCGCTCCCACTTACAAGGTACTGTGTGACACACGGGCAGCCACATTTAAGCACATATCCTTGAGAGGTTTGTAGATTTATCAAGGCTTCTGGATCTTTAGAGGTTTTCCAAATAGAACTTCTACTGGGAAAATGCATAATTGGTTCCATTTAACATTTAGCTAAGTCTGATGTGTCAGGGGAAGGTTCGCCTAAGAATTAAAATAAGACCAGTTCTTCCACCTCCTCCCTTCCCACACCATATCTGGTTTTGATAAAAAGTGAAGACTACACAAAGGAACAGAATGCAGGGTTTTACCTAACACAACGTAAGTCTTCAGTACCAATCTCATTATAGCTCAACTGTAAGTGTTTAACCCAATGCCAATGAAAAGATAATATTTTACAAGGGAATGAGATGTGAGTTGGTTAATTATAATATTTATGAGTGGCTTCTTATATACTTTTTGGTTGGGGTAGAGCTGAAATTATTGCAAAAATTTTACATATTCCAATTATCTACTGCCACAGTATTGCATTCAGAAGGGACTTTGAAAATATACTGTATTAGTTCTATTCTCTACCACAGGTCAGAACAGACCATTGGAAGTCAGTGTGCTAACCATTTTGTAAATCTGGAATAGAAGTATTATGGGAACCAGAACTTCTTGAGCAATCATTTCCCCTCTTCTAACAGGCTAAGGCTGGTTTCCTTGTTTCTGAGCCAGAATGCCACTCTCTTTGGCCATCATTATCCTATGTATATCACAATCGAGTGCTAAATCAGATTTGCTGAATAGAATGAATGTCTCTAGTTATAAAACTGGGCAATCATTAGCAATAATCAGGAGCTCCTTGGTAATACAATCTCTATCTCTTGTTATTGCCGCTGAAAACATCTTGGTCAGTCGTGCTCACTTTCCTCTGGCTCTCAACAACAGCAGTTCTTCCAATAGCAGAGTATCACACATGGGAAGTTGTGACGCTCCATCCAATCAATGTGCATTAAAAGGCCTGACTAATCCTCAGTCTGCCTGGGCTATGATCTGGGGAGGAGAACTCAGTTCCTCAGAATTAAGGAGGCTCTGAGGGGCTGGAGGAATGGCTGTCAGTAAAGTGCTTGTTGGGCAAGCATAGGTCCTTAATTCTATCACCCAGAGCCACATATAGGGTTGGACACAGAACCAGATCTCCAATGCACAGTGCTGGGTCGGTGGTAACAGGCAGATCCCCGAGGATCACCCAAGTCTAGCTGATTCAGTGAGCGAGAGAACCTGCCTTAAAAAGAGGAGGAAGGGGGAGAGATGGCTCAGTGGGCAGGAGTGCTTTCTGCACTATCAGGAGAGTCTGAATTGCAAATTCTAGTACCCAGGTGGAAAGCTGGATTCTGGCCAGGCTTCTCTCTCTCTCTCTCTCTCTCTCTCTCTCTCTCACACACACACACACACACACACACACACACACACAATTAAGAATTAAAAGAGCTGATGGTGGATTCACAGCAGAGCCACACAGCTCACTTGTCAGGATGTAACTTGTATCTGAGGACACACTCCCTCAGTCCCCCAGAACCAGCACCCAGTGCTTAAGGCAGACATCTCCCTGAGCATTCTGCCCCCTCTAGCAAAGCAGTTGTCCTGAGACACGAGGCAAAGCAAACACTACAGTTAACCCCACACATTTCAAAAAGCACACACAGAAAATCACTCCCCGCAAGCCTCCAAGTGTATTCAGGAAGATAAAATCCACAGATAACATATGCCCGTGTGCTGGGATAGCACTCTGAAATTCACCTTCCAAGACTGTTCCCCACTGGCATGTTCTCGAGTGTCTCATACCATGAAAGGGCACACTGCCAACATGTGAGGACATACCTCTGACATGTATGTTGGAAGCTGGTATAGCTCACAGTTCATAGTTGGGGTTATTTTTCCCATTCTTCTGAATTAACTTTTGCTAGTAAAATTTCAAAGTCCAAATATTTAAAGTTTTTCTTTGAACTATAATTTCCCTACATAAACTGGATCTATCACTGCAACTTGTGTGTATTTAGTTGAGTGAGAAATGAGCAATGAATAATGCTTAGACACTGCCTTTCAGAATTTTGAGGTAGTGTCTCTATAAATTGTCCAAGTTGGATTAGTGCTCATTTGGTAATAGGCAACAGGATTTGTAATCCTCCTGTCTCAGTCTCCTGATTGGGGGGATGACAAGCCTTGGCCACTAAACCTACTTTTTAAAATTCTGTTAATTTTTTAAAATTCATGTCATGATATGTGTGTGCGTGTGTGTGTGCGCGCGCGCATGCGCGTGCGCATGTGGTATGTGTGTGTGTGTGTGTATGTGTGCGTGTGCGTGTGTGTGTGTGTGTGTGTGTGTGTGTGTGTGTGTGTGTGTGTGTAACTTCTAGACATCAGTACCCTCCTTTACCACATGAGCCTGGGGATTGATTTTAGGAACTTAGGTGATCAAGATTCGAGCTCCTTTACCCACTGAGCCATCTTGCTGGCCCCAAATATCGCTAATTTACACACAGCTGTATATGTACATTTTCTCTTTCTCAAGATTGTTATTCTTAGGTTAACAGAATATAACCTACATCTTAGTCTCAAATAAAACCCACAGGTACAATCTGAAGAAGCTGTTAAAACAATGATATTGGCAGTGGACAAAAATAACATTTTTAAGTCCGCAAAACAAGTAAGTTCTGGGGTTAAAATTATAAAATTCCTGTCACCTGCAAACCAGTCAAAGGAGTCAATCGCTCCGAAGCCCTTTGAACTATCAACAACTGATCAATATTAAACCATAAACCACATCAGAGAAAGAAGAAGCCTTGGATGGTGTCCCGCCACACAAGACTCTCTTTCAAGACCATCAGCTGGATTTCCAAAACTCACGTGCTATGCTCAGGTGGATGAAGGGGCTTGTCTTGTTCTCTCCGTTCCTCTCGTTCACAGCCTGCACATAGTAAGCCCCAGCGTCACTCTCTTTTGTATCGAGGATCACCAACTGATTCTCCAGTGTGATGGCTCTGTTTCAGAGACAAGACACAGTGTCAAGGCCACTTAAGGGAATGTAACAAAGAATTAATTCATCAGGCCAACTATATAGTAATAAAGACCCAAACCTGGGCTCAATCACTAAAGTACTTGTCTTGAAAGCATGAAGGCCTGAGTACAACCCCCAGAAACCTGTGAAAAAGCTGGGTGTGATGCCATGCTTGTAATCGCAGCTTTGAGCAGGCAGAGATGAGAGACTCTTGGGGCTCACTGGCCAGCTGTGGGGGTTCGAATGAGAATAGCCTTCATAGGCTCCTATGTTTGAATGCTGGTTCCCCAGTTGGTGGAACTGTTTGAGAAGGATGAGGAGGTGTGACCTTGTCAGAGAAGGTGTGTCACTGGGGGTGGGCTTTGCGGTTTCAAAAGCCCACAACTTCCTCAGCTAGCGCCTTCCTCCTTTCTCTCTGTCTTGTGGTTGTTGTCTCAACATGTAAGCTCTCAGTTACTGCTCCAGCTCTGTGCCTGCCTGCCACCCCTCCACCCCCTGCCATGATGGTCATGTCTAAAACTGTAAGCAAGCCCCCAGTTAAACTCTTGCTTTAATAAGTTGCCTTTGCCATAGTGTTCTGCCACAGCAATACAAAAGTAAATAAGATACCAGCCCATCCCTACTCAGTGTCAGGCCAGTGAGAGATCTTATCTCAAAATACAAGACAGAACAGAGCCTGAGGAGTGATAGCTGAAGTTGACCTCTGGCCTTCCTTCACAGGAATGTACACATACCTGCACACTTATACCCTCCAGAGTCCCTCAAAAATTAAATAAAAAGGAGTAAGTAGACAAAAGCAACACACAGCTAGCTTGTGGCTGTGCCTTCTTGGTGGGGCAGCACTCTCCCTTCTCAGGAACTCTCCATCTGAACTGACTCTTGACTGGAAGGAAGATGACGCACACCTCCAGGGACTAACACAGAGGTTCCTGAGAATCCAAATGCTGCCTGTTAGAAGTTCCAGGGAAGCAGCCTCTTGTTCTAGGTCAGCAGAGGGCTGGACCACCAACTGCTCTGTGCCAAGTGACTCTTGTGTCCCTTACCACCTCGGAAACCTCAATGGAGCTTCCTATGTCTGACGGGCAGAAGAAGAGGTGCCGCGGGCCACAGGGCTGACTGCTTCTGTTTAAGCCATCTCATCGTTACTAGCCATGGAGTGCACACTCCTTTCTGCACTCCCACATCTCGTACAAAGGAGCAATTAAACAATAACACCTGTCTAGTTTTTGACACTTTGGCTGACACACGTTATCATCTACAAAATTTATACTTGAAAACTGTGTGACTGAGTTCCAAAAAAAGTTTAAAAATATTTTATCTAAGTTTATGATTTTATGTTGGGCTACACTCATAACTATGCTGGCCTGAAGAGTGGATGTGCTTGAATTAACGATCAATCCTCCCCAGACATCCCAGTTTTAGCAGAAAAGAACCCTGAGGTACATTTGATCCACACACCCTTTCTTGGAGCCCTGCCTGCCTGCTAAGGTCACAGAGCAGCTTGCTGTCAGAGGTGAGACAAGGCCTTCTCCACACAGATGAGTACTTCTAGATCACATCTGCCTTAGTTTCTCTCCCTGTTGCTGTGCGAAAATATTTTGATGAAAGCAGCTTAAGGGAGAAAGGGCTTATTCTGGCTCATAAATCGACGGTCAAGTCCATCATGGCAGAAAAGGCAAGGCAACAGGAAGCAGAAGCGGCTGGTGATCCTCAGTCAGGAAGCAGAGCAAGGTGAAGACAGGCTGCTCTTCAGGGTCTTTCCCCACCTACACAGTCCAGGGTCCCAGCCAGGGAACCCTGCCACTCACAGTAGGCGGGTCTTCCCATGTCAGTGCAGGCAGGATAACGCCCTCACAAGCAGGCCAGAGACCCTTGTCCTACAGGAGTCTAGATTCTATCAAGACAAACACTAACATCACAGATCACAGAAGGACTTCTCACTGTGATATTTATCTAGAAAGGAGGAAGCCAATGAAGTCATAACATCCACAGACCCAAGCCACTTCTTACAGGAAGCCCTGGATCCTCCCTTCTGTTAGTCTGTAGACCTCTGGCTAGTTTGAAGAGTCAATGGGGAGGTGGGATTTGTTTAAAAAAAAAAATTAATGCAAATGTGCAGCTGGAGAGATGGCCCAGTGTATTATGTGTCTCTTGTACAAGCATGAGGACTTGAGATAGGTCCTCAGCATGCATGTAAAAAGCAAGGTGTGGTAGTGCTTGCTTGTAATCCCAGTGCTGGGAAGGATACAAGTAGATCTCTGGTGCTCACTGCCCAGCCAGCCCAGCCAACCAGTAAATCCAGGATCTAGTAAGAGACCCTGTCTCAAATAAACAAGGACTCCCAAAGTTCATATCTGACTTCTACATGTACACACATGTCACACACACATATATACACACATACAAATATACACACACTAACACACATGTCTACACACATATGCACACATACGTGCACATACACAAATACACATACTAACACACATATGCATGCAATGCACACAGGCATCTATACACACACATGCATGCACACATGCATCTACACACACACTAACTGACACACATGCATGCATATACACATGTGCCTATACACATACACACACTAGGATACAATACACATAGGAACTCATGCATGCACGTACACACACAAACATACATACTAACACACATGTATGCACACATTCTACATACATGTGCATGCATGCACACATGTCTATACACATATGTACACACATGCACGCACACACACACATACACACAGTAAATATGAGTTACATGATCTCTGGCTTACAAGTCAGGCCCTGCTACACAGCTTGAACCCACACTCTCCAAGTGTGGGTTCCAAGCCCCACAGGGAAGGGGCCTGCGTGCTCGTTCTCTGACCTGCAGAGCCCTCCCAGAGGCAGGAAAGGCAGTCGTCTCTCCCAAGGAATCAAAGGTAATAATCATCTTTCCCTCCTGTTACCTTGTGGAGAGCTTTTTTTCCAGAAACCTCCTGGTTTTTCTACATTGTATAAAATTATCTTAAGGAGTGATTGCTCAGCAGGCTCCCACAGGGCGTATTACATTTTAGGTCTCTATGGCTAACTTATTTCATGTCTCATTTAAGAAAATTTCCCTATTAGGAAGTTTTCAATTTTTCGTCCCATAAAAATATTTCAAAAAGAGTTTTACTATAATTATTTATGACTGCTTTATAGGTTCTTTTATAGAAGCATAGAAATTGTTCCATTTTATTTTAGTATATGTTACACTGGCACCTAAAATTAAATATGAATATTTACTACACATGAAGTTATACATTTAATAGCATAATTTAAAAATTGAATATATAACTTTTGCTTTCACATCTGATTTTTAGCATACTGGTCTTAAGTATGCCTATTATTTCTCAGAATTAGTCATTTTTAAATGCTCATTAATTCTCTATATTATTTACCACAGTGATTCAAGGCTACTGAAAATTAAAAAGTATATAAAAAACAAAAACAGTAAGTTTTATATCTATTAAGGTTTTTTTAAAGCTCTTTTCTTTCAGTTTTTGATTTCTGTACATGTTCAAGACTAACATTAAAAAATAAAACTTACATATTGTTTAAAAAGACAGCCACAAAAATGGCATTTGAAAAGAAGAAGCAATTCCACAGAAGGCTATTCTTTCTCTCTCTATGAAATATTTTCATGTAGAGGATTTACACTAAAGAAACTGACTTGTGAAATAAAAGTAAAATATCTACAAACATCTATCTTAATGCTATGTCCTGATGTCTGCCGTAATAGGTGTGCATTTGTGTGCACTCACCTGTGTGTGTGTGTGTGTGTGTGTGTGTGTGTGTGTGTGTGTGTTCTGCTGTAAGTACATGTGTGTGTAGGTATGTACATGAGTGTAGAGGGTGTATGCACACACATCTGTACACGTGCATGTGGAGGTCAGAGGTTGATGATGTTGGATAGAGACAGGATCTCTCACTGAACCTGAGACTCACTGGTTCAGCTAGACCAGCTGACCACTAACCCCCCAGGACCTGCCTGCTTGTGCCCCGCGGTGCTGCAATTACAGACGTGCAGCACCTTGCTTAGCTTTTGACATGGGGACTGAACTCGGGGTCCTTGTGCTTGAACGCAAGCACTTAATCAAGTGAGCCATCAGCCTGGCCCCTCACGCTGTTAGACTTTAATCAGAGGAACGGTTTGTAGAGACAGTGGGCCACAGTGAACAACTGCTGGTCTGGTCTGTGGCTCGGCTTCCAGAGGTGCCTGTGTTCCCCAGTGCCCAGGCTGATGGTCCCAGGTACCCATAGTGGCACTTTTTATGGCTATTGGGAAACACAGGGATAGCATGAAGCTGATGATTTGGGTTCTGAGGTTGGTGTGTATGCATACGTGCAGGTACATGTGTAATTGTAGATGCACATGGATGTGTATACATGCTCATGCATATAGAGGCCAGATGACACCTGAGTGTTGTTCCTTTGGCACCATTCACCTTGGTTTAGTGAGATGGGTTCTCTTATTGATTTGTAACTAACTGATCAGGCTAAGCTGGCTGGCCAGTCCTGTCTCTACTTCACCAGTGCTGGGATCACAAGTGTGCACCATGATAAGTTCTGAACTCAGTCCCTCATGTTTTCATGACAAGCTCTTTACAGACTGAGCCATCTCCCCGGCCCACAGAACCCTTCATCCCGTAACCTACTCCATCCATTCTAGTTAGTTCTAACCGTCAGCCTGACACAGCCCAGGGTCATCTAAAAAAGGAGTCATGATCGGTGCACTGTCCAATCAGCTGGTCTGTGGGAAATGGTTTCAACTGTGAACTTACACAGAATGGTCCATCCTACCATAGGAGGCAAGATTCCCCGGGCAGGTGGTCCTTGATTGTATGAGAGAGCTAAAGAAGCATGAGCCAGAGAGCCAGCCAGAAGTAGTGTTCCTCCATGGTTTCTGCTTCAAGTTTCCATTTCACTTCCTGCCTTGACTTCC